AAGTATGATTAATTGATGGATTGAGGTTTTATTTTTACGACTTATCAAACCTTTGTGGACTAATTAAAGCTGAAAAAAAAAATTGTGGGGTCATAAGAATAATGATTTTTATGCGAGTGAATATTGTATTAGCAATTTCTTGCGGGATAGCAATGATTTTCTTTCAGGAACAATTACTACTATTCAAGCACGATTTAGTGGCAACAGGTGGATTCATACATTTTCCTTGAGTGAGTGTAACGAAAACGGCTGGGAGTTTAACTAAAAAAGCCGAGAAATAAAGTTGTCTTGAGAACTAAAATACACCGGTGGGCAGGACAAATATTCAATAAGTTGTTAATATTTTATAAAAGGGTAAACAATCGATTTTCGATGACTTTCTATTTTGCTGTTTTATAAAGAATACTAAACTGAACTAAAAACAAATACAAAACGTCCATTGATGTATGATATATTCGGAAACTTACAAGAATAGCTTGTTGAAATTTTTACGACTTATCAACCCTTAGTAAGTAAATTATAACCAGAAAATGTTTTAGATGGTAAGTATTTTTTGAGTTAATAAAGATTTAATGATAAAAGTCGTACTAATTAGCTGGGGAGAAGTGTTGGATTCAGTGAATTGTAACTCGGTTAAGAATTCGGAGTCACTATACATTACACCACCCACACACCCAAACATACAATACCTGATATTCCCAAGCAGTCACCCATCTAGGTATTCATCATGCTCGATGTTGCTTAACTTAACCGATGTTAAGGCCATCATGTAAGACTACAATAGTTTGTAAACAATTAAAATAGTTACATTGTAAACTCATTACCAAAACAATATTTTATTTCTATATATATATATTATAAAAACGAACTTTTCACTATCTAGCGATATATATATATATATATATATATATATATATATATATATATATATATATATATATATATATTTATTTTGAATAAAAGACTTTCTTTCTTTTTAAGATTCCATTTAATTCTTTCTTTCACCATAACCCCTTTAACAGGGTTCTTCATCAGACTTTTACTTCCAAAAGAACCCTGTTAAAGGGGTTATGGTGAAATAGCTTATTGCATGGAATCTTAACGTTTCTTCTTTTTTCAAACATATCTGCTCTTCTTTCATTGAGCTCTCTGGATATCATCCTCCTCAGGTTCTACCCATACGGATTACCTAAATTTGCATAAACTATATATATATATATATATATATATATATATATATATATATATATATATAAAAACTGAACAATGAAGTCAACACTCAGAGGCGATAGGCTGTTTCATGCTACACGCAATCGTCAGGCCGCGAGTGTTGGATTTTTCTCGACTATTTATATATGAGTCACTGCTGTATTATGGGTAATCCATTCTGGCGGTTATTTTAGCGGCAGTGGCTTGTTTATTTATTTATTCGGGTTAAATTATTTTACTTGTTTTTATTTTCATTTTTTATTTTATATATTTATTTATTCTTTTCGGTTTTCGATGTTTTATTAACGTAGTAAAAGATTTTGTGCGGATTTGCTTAGGTCGCTTATTTAATAGTTTGTTTTGGTTTGGGAAGATAATTAAAACTATTTATTCGTCCAGTTTTTAGATTGATTGCCGTAGTTCATTCTGCTATTTTGACGGGAGACAGTTTTTAATTTGTTTATTTATTCATATATTTAACTGGTTTTTGCTTATTTATGTTTATTTTTAGTGGTTCTAACGGTTATTTTAGTGTAGGCGATTTGTTAATTTGTTCATTTATTTATTTATTTTTATTAATTTTTCTTTTCTTATTTATTTTCTTATTTTATTTTGTATATGTTTATTAGATTTTCGATTTTTGTGTAATGTCGTAATGGACAACTAACCCATATATATAAATAGTCAAGAAAAATCCAGCAATCGTGGACTGATGATTGCGTCTAGCATGAAACAGTCTATCGCCCCTGAGTGTTGACTTCAGTGTTCACTTTTATATTTAGATTTACATACGCTCTTTCTCCGATATTGAGCACTTTATCCCATAAATACAGCACACCTTAAACGTATATTTTTCATATATATATATATATATATATATATATATATATATATATATATATATATATATATATATATATATATTTTCACCAAAACACTAACAGAAATATTGTACAAATCGCGCAACACAATAATTGTTCAATTAACTGAGTTTCTTTTTGTCAGGCGTTCAGATAAGATGTTTAGCCATCTTGTAGTGTCACTGAAAACACTTTGACTTATTAAGCTAGAAAGAGAACAGGTTAAACTCGTTTTTTTACTGTCTTCCTCATTGAGCAATGGTAAGAGGAAAAAGATGATTCAGGCTTTCAATAATGGTATCAACATTCATACTCTGACTTCCATCTTCAAAGTCCATTCAAGAACCATCAAGAGAACGGTGAATAAGTTTTAAAAAAGTGGGAAGAGTGGAACGGAAAACTGGATCAGAGTGAATATCATTTCAACTTAGAGTTAAAGAGATCAATTAGAAAAGATCCAACTCAAACCAGTTTGGGACGTGAAGGAGAAGTTTCATATATGACAGTCCAAAGAGCAGTGAAAAAACAGGTGGAAATGAAAACGTACGTAAAACCCGTGAAACACCTTGTTTCTCCAGGACAGAAACGTAGGTCAGAGTGGGCGAGCATCATCTTGAATAAGTCGGAAAACGACCCTGGATAATATATATATATATATATATATATATATATATATATATATATATATATATATTATTTATTTAAAAATATGATTCCAAATCGCGACATAAGAAGTCCCATGTTTCAAAACAAGAGCCGAAAACTTCAATATAATTATTTAAATTATTTAAATTAAATTGAGTTAAAATAAGCTCTGTTCCATCTTCAAGCGAAATTTTTTTTTTTTTTTTGGAATAACGTGTTTCTGAAATTTACGTGTTTTAAAAATTGAAATCAAAATTTCCATGGTAACAGCTAGGGTGAATTGTTTAAGTTGGGTAGGCGTGTGTTGGGTGTTAATAATAAGTATCAGTATAGAGTTACTTTCGTAGATGTCAAGTCAGGAAAAGGTGGGGTGTCTAAATTTGAAAAAGGAAGATGTATTAACCCTCGTCTAGTTTACATGTATATGGAGATTTATTAATTTTTTTATTTTATTTTTTTATGAAAGGGATTTGTGCATATAAAATGACCCAAAAAACAAACAAAAACTGTCGTAACGTTTGTTTTTTGACGACTTCATAAAGGGTAATCTTTTTTTAGGGTATTTAAACTATTTATTTCGGCTATGGATTATGAAGGGTGTTATATTGTATGCATGTTTTTAGTTAATTGTTCAAATCATGAATCTGATGAATGGGCTATGGATTAAACAAGTTATTATATTGTATGCTAGTTTTTAGCTAATAATTCAAACCAAAAATCTGATGATGCCTACAAAAAACCGTTAACTCGTGTCTATTGTTTAATAGATTATTATTATTTAGAAATCTTAATTATGTGCAATTTTTCATGGAGGCATAAAGGGCATGGGTCATCCCAAGTTTTACATGTTCTGGCCTTGTTAATAATTTTCCATTTAACTTTAGGTGTCCTATTTGTTTCCTTCAAATGCCAAAAATATTTAGATAGGGAAGTCTGATTTCTTTTGTTTATATTATTGAAAGAACACTTATGCTGCCTCCATCTATCTTTAAAATCATTCTTCGTGGACCCAATGTATATCTTATTAGTGCTAGGGCTCTCAGTGAATGATATATAATACATTGGTATAATGCAGCATTTATTTTCTAATGGGCAGTCTTCTAGGTTTCTACAGTTACATAATTTTTCCCTTTTATTGTCTGATTTAAGTGCAGGGTTTTTATTAATACTGTTTAGGCATGGGGGTTTGTTCAAGATCTTATTATTGTGTTTTTTTATTATACGTTCAAGATTTTCAGAGCAGCTGTAACTCAATTTTAGGGTGTTCTTATTGAATATATTACTAAGCTTACTATTGGTGGGGAAGTGTTTATCAATTAGGTTTAAAATTTTGTCCTAGTTTAATATTAACCATTTGGTTGAACGGAGGGTGTACCAAATGATTTTTTCTTTTCCTGTTTTTTTTCCTATGGCCAGTGCAATTGTCTCTCTAGTTAATGTTAGCATTTTTATAACCACTATTTTTTAGGGCAGTGTTATAGAAGCCATTGTGTTGTTGGAATATTTCCTTGTTAGCGGAGTTAATGCTAATTCTATTTTCTATTGATGAGGGTATATGTTTAATTATGGATGGAGGGTGGTTTGACTTCGGGTGTATATATAAAGGGTTAGCATTAGGTTTGCTATAAGGTTGGTATGTGTTGCCAGGTAAGACTAGAGTTACGTCAAGGAAGTTAACCCTTTTCAAATTAGAAGAGACAATTATCTTTAAGTTTAGTTTTTTAAATTCATTAAATATAATTTCTCTATACAGTCCGATGTCCTTAATATCAATTTCGCAGTGTGCCGTTAAGTTGTACAGTATCAGAAGACCGACAAAGTCAGAAGACTCTGCAGAATCTAATGATCCCATAGTGATGTCAAACAGGTCGTTATTGTTTTTTATCCATTGGTTCCCATTATGAATGAGAACCGATTTCTTTGCGCTGAGGATTATATCTGTTTCTTCCTTTGTCAGGTTAGAATACACAAAGCAGCAAAAATAGTCCTTCGCAATTATAAATAGATCCTTCTGAAATTGATGGGTAGTAATCCACGATATCGAACTGTTTTATTAGGTGATCAATTCGATTTATCATCAATATAGTTAAACCAATCGATGACATCTTTAATATTGATCCATAATTTTAATTCAACATAAGTTTCAGTTTTTTATTTAAATAGGCAGGTAATTTTTCAGCCGATGTCCAAAATGGTAGCCGAGGTCCAAAATGGCAGCCGTTATCCAAAATGGTAGCCGAGATCCAAAATGGCCGCCGTTGTCTAAAATGGTAGCCGAGATCCAAAATGGCCGCCGTTGTCCAAAACGCTCTCCAGTCTGATGATAACCGGAACAAATGATGGTTTAAAAGTTGTTTCACACATACAACACGTTCTTAATAGCTAATTCCTAATAAAGCAATGACAGTTAATAAGAGAATTCTATTCTGCTAAAATAACGTTTTAAGAAAAAGATTTTTCACAATTTTAACCGGTAGTAATATTGTCTCTTCGATCAATGACTTCGGAATGATTCTGTATAAGGAAATGACTATTATTATTATTATTAGTGATGAGAATTCTGTGCCGGTATGATCCATGAACATGTCGAATTTTATTGCATTCATATTTACCATATATACTCGCGTATCATGCGACCTTTGAAGATTTAATTTTAAAGCTAATTTAACTACAGTAATTGGAAATATACTCTGGTCAACGACGTAGGCACGTCCAAGCAGTGCATACGCTAATTTTATATCTCGCCTATACGAGCTAAAAAGTCGCAGGGTACGTGCGTATATACGGTAATTCCTTAAGTTCTTCAGTATTTCTTGGACGCGTCTGATAAACTGATTTCAATTTGCCCCACAGAAAGAAAAAATACAAGGGTATGGGGTCTGGATCTTTTCAACCTATTTATAAACCCATCTGGTGCGCGAGTTTGCCTCACACTGTACTCCCACACATGGATAGCCGAAAAGCGAGGGATAAAAAAAAGACAAAAAAAAAAAAACCAAGAAAAAAAAACATCTAAGAGCTTCAAAAGACAGGAATTAGTGGAGAACCATGATCGCTAACGACTTAAACAATTGAATGATAAAATGTAGTTTATCCTACCGCGGGAAGATAGTACACTTTTATCGCAGCCCGATTGCCAGTGTTGGTGGGGAAAAGAGAATAATCGAATACACTGTCTGCTCGGTCAATCAATGTCAAATGTTTCCTTATAAGGGAACGGATAATATTAGTATTAACGTTAGAGATGAGAACATTTATTACACATGGTATTTACTCGTCCTCACACCACTGATCTACGACAATGGGATATGGCATAATACCAGCTTTAAACGGGGAACCCTAGAACGTAAAAGAATTAGAAATACAAAAAAAAAAGAAGATAAAAACTCGCTACAAGTCTGTTGTAAGACTGAACGACAAATAAATAGAAAAGGAGTGAGATAGGGAGTTAATTGAACTGATCGACTTGTCTCTTAGGAAGAAAGCAAGCGAGCTAGATAGCTAAATAGCTAGAGTTTTTAATCAATTTCACCCCATGTTTTGTGACGTCAACGAATACTCGTTGTCCTTTTCGTAATGCTCGTTGAGGTAGAGACTTTGAAATCGCAGATACAACTATAGTAACGCCGTTGAACAATACTGGTGTCAGACGCCTTCGAATAACAATCGCATTAATAGTACTAGTATAATAAATAGAGTAGAGAAGAGATCGAATCCTCGTCGCCATTTTTGTGATGTCAACGAATACTCGTTGTCACTTTCGTAGTGCTCATTGTAGTGGAGACTTTGTAATCGCAGAGACAACTATATTAACGCCGTTGAACAATACTGGTGTCAGACGCCTTCGAATAACACTCGCACCTTTAAACGTCCGAGTAGTACTCCGAATAGTACGTGCGTGTGTACAAGAGTTCAGTCGACCGGGAAAACGAGCGTGTCTCAGCGGGGTCGTACTCAACCACACCTTGCTACTTCATGAAGCAAGAGAGAGAAACGGTAAGAGGAAATAAATGCTGTTTTGTAGAACCTAAACAGCGCCATCTAACGGCGAAGACAAATGATGTAACCAACAACGTAATCCCAATGCCTCATCACCCGCAACTAACAGCCATTAAACTTTAAAATATATTTAAATGTTACTTACTTTTTTATGTCAACGACCACTCGTTGCCATTTTTGTGATGTCAAGCGAATACTCGTTGTCACTTTCATAATGCTCGTTGTATTAGAGACTTTGTAATCGCAGATACAACTATAGTAGCGCCGTTGAACAATGCAGCACTCAGACGCCTTCGAATATCACTTGCACTAATAATACTTTGTATAGTGAATAGAATAGAGAAGAGATGGAATCCTCGTTGACACTTTTGTGATGTCAACGAATACTCGTTGTCACTTTCGTAATGCTCTTTGTAGTAGAGACTTTGTAATCGCAGATACAACTATAGTAACGCCGTTGAACAATACTGGTGTCAGACGCCTTCGAATATCACTCGCACAAATAGTACTTGCTCGATAATACTAGCTCGAATAGTAATCACTGAATAGTGATCCGAATAGAGAAATAGTATAGAGAAGAGAATAGCGGTTCGTATTGTATAGACGATAGACTAGAATATAGCGACTAATTAGACACACGCTTCCTACCATATATGCCTTTCCTCTATGATCTAGTTAATTTAATAATGGGATCGCCTGTGTTTGCTTACTGGCGATCTATGTTCAAACTCAAGTGTCAGCAGCGACACTTTATTCCTATATAACACGCATCTATTTGGTTAAATTTTATTAAGTCGTTGTGGCCATTAACTTCTCAGCATCATTTCGCTTGTTCGAAATATATTCCTGTATAAGTTTATGGATATAAAACCATTGACAAGAACATTTTTTCCTCTCGTCGTATAGCACAGATCTCTGTGCGAATTCGTGAAGTCGTGTTTATATACATGTATTTTTTTTTCTCTGTCAATGTTCTTTGTGAACAAAGGCAAATGGTTGCATGTGCGGTTTACATTAAGAATTTCCGTTTAATTTTAAACTTAATTTTATTTAGGGAATTAGGTTCGTGCCACAAAAATGCTTCGGGATCTGCCGAATTATTTTTTCTTTTTAAACAATTAAGCTCTTCATTTTATTTCGACTGTCTTCCTCCTTCTTACATATTTTTCTTTTCTCTCTCTCTTTTTCCCAGATCTATCTTCTTACATATTTTTCTTTTCTCTCTCTTTTTCCCAGATCTATCTTCTTACATATTTTTCTTTTCTCTCTCTTTTTCCCAGATCTATCTTCTTACATATTTTTCTTTTCTCTCTCTTTTTCCCAGATCTATATTCTTACATATTTTTCTTTTCTCTCTCTTTTTCCCAGATCTATCTTCTTACATATTTTCTTTTTTCTCTTTTTTTAAGATCTATCTTCTTACATATTTTTTATTTTCTCTCTCTTTTCCCAGATCTATTTTTACATATTTTTCTTTTCTCTCTCTTTTTCCCAGATCTATCGATATTTTTATTTGCATCACTGAAAAATTTCTAATTAAGTTATTCGTTCTTTTATTTTGTAAATAGTTTACTTCTCAAATATTTTCTTTCTCTATCTATCTATCTATCTATCTATCTATCTATCTATCTATCTATCTATCTCAGACTGTTAATTATATATCTCAGATTGTTAAACATCTATCTATCTATCTATCTGTCTATCTCAGTCTGTTCACTTCTATCTCACTGTTCATATCTATCTATCTATCTATCTATCTATCTATGTCATTTTGCTCACGTTTATCTGTCTATTTCGTTCTGCTCATATTTAACTATCTCATCATTTTCCTATCTATATATCTTTCTCATTCTGCATACATCTCAATATAAGGCTATCTTCCTCTTTTATATCTATCTATCTATCTATCTATCTATCTATCTATCTATCTATCTATCTATCTATCTATCTATCTCGTTCTAAGCATATCTATCTACAATAACTCTATCTAAATTTGTTCATTCATCTATCTATCTATCTATCTATCTATCTATCTATCTATCTATCTCGTTCTAAGCATATCTATCTACAATAACTCTATCTAAATTTGTTCATTCATCTATCTATCTATCTATCTATCTATCTATCTATCTATCTATCTATCTCGTTCTAAGCATATCTATTTGCAATAACTCTATCTAAATTTGTTCATTCCTCTATCTATCTATCTATCTATCTCGTTCTAAGCATATCTATCTACAATAACTCTATCTAAATTTGTCCATTCATCTATCTATCTATCTATCTATCTATCTATCTATCTATCTATCTATCAGTACTGAATTTGCAAGCAACCTACTAAGGGGAGATAACTACATTTCATTTTCTTTTATTCTTTTTTTCCGTACAGACGTACATTTCTAGATTAATTTTAACACGCAACTTTTCTGCACGCTGAATCCAGGATGAGTAATTTAAAATAAAGGAAAATCGAATGAATTATTTTTCTTGTTTAAAAAATAATAATAATCTATCAATAAAATAAAGAAGAAATATTGCCTATATTCATTTTTTTTTTTTACAAAAATGGCACTGAATCACGTATTACAAATACGTGAACTGGAGTAGGAATTCAATATAGAAGACGCAAACAATTCCATATATATGATTTTTTTAATCATTTCACCCCAAGCAAAGCGGGAATACCACTAGCAGGTAGCGGGTTACAGAGAGTGAAGCTGAGAGAAAAGACTGGTTATAGGATTACCGAGGAAAGAATAAAAACTGAACGGGGTTCAAGAAGGCAGAAGATCGCAATTGACGTTGCATTTAAATTTTTGAAGGTTACACTTAGGAGGGAAGCAAGGAAACGGAAGTGAGTTCCACAGGCGGGAAGTGCGAGTAAAGAAACTGGTGGACTAGAAGTGGCTGTCACATTTAACAAATTCAGCAGTGAAATGGTGGGATATAGAAGCCAATCTAGCAGCAAACTTAAAATCACGTAGTCACATTAGTTTCGATTATATTTAATTTTGAGAATCATTATAACAGGAATAATTATTTCGGATAGTGATTTCATCGTCTTTTTAAAATCATTTCACCTTCAACATGGCAATAAATCCGCTGAGACACGAACGGTTACGGAGCCTGAAAGAATAAGTAAAAGAAAAGCAATAGCGACAACAATAACAGAAGAGGAATTATTTAGAACATATTGATTTCGTTTTTTTTCCCACATGGATTCAGCAGATTCATTCTGTATTGAAGAGGCACTTCCGTAATTTTAAGAAAAGAAGGAAACATTTTGATGTGATGAATTTTCTAACCAGGGTTGCACACGAGATTATTTCGGAATAGAATGAATATAGGTTACTATGGTAAATTTCCTTCTTTCTTTTGTAGATTCCGTGAATGGAATCCTGCACAAATAAATAAACAACGCTAGTAATTGAGATAGAAAAATAAGTGCATTAAACATAAGAATACAGACTTGAAGTGAATATTAGTAGTCCAGGAATGCGGGTTAGTAGAACGTATAGGTACAAGCCTCTGTAAGTCAAGCCGTAATCATCTCTCTCTCTCCCTCTCTCTCTCATTCTCTCCCTCTCTCATTCTCTCTCTCTCTCTCTCTCACTGGACTCTTGTATAACTCTCTGAGAACACCCTGTCTCCGTATCTCTCAACCTGTCTCAACGTATCTCAACGTATCTCAAGGTTTCTCCACGTATCTCAACGTATCTCGGTATGTAATATTCCACCCACGAGGAAAATATGTGGCACAAGGCCGAGTTTAAAGTGGGTTTCTCCGAGCCCGTAGGCTCGGCTCGGCCCGGCCAAAAATGTACCCTTTGAACCCGCCTAGATGGGTTCAGGGCCTGTATATCTCCCCGGACGAAACCTTGCTCTTCGGCAAAGCTTCGTCCGGGTTCCTCTCTGCCAAAGCAGAGAGTTCGACAGACGTCGAGACTGTATCTTGACGTAACTCAACAGCAGGTATTCTCTCTGTCAGTATAAGCATAATTTTGAAGAGTCCATCTTATGTAAAAAAGGGGAGAGCCCAACAACACTTGCTTTAATAAAGACACTAAGATATTTGTCCGCAATTACGTGAGGATCCTATAAAAAATAATTGAACAAAACTTATCTAAATTATTTAATGAGGCTTGTCTTAATGACAACATACTGCCAAAATAAACTGTATATATATATATATATATATATATATATATATATATATATATATATATTTAGAAAAAAAAAACGTATAAATCCATATCGGTTATAATATATTTCATGAATATTGTTATATTAATCTGTTCAGAACGAATATTTTTAAGAAATGGAATCAATCCATCCAGACAGATATGCCGGTAAAAAAGGAGAAAAGAAAAAAAAAAGACAGAAAAAAGAAAAAAGAAAAAAAAATAAGAAAAAATAATATTAATAATAAAAATAAAATTAAAAAATAGCTCCATTGGATTAAAAGTTCTCTTTGGAATAATAGATATATATTGCAAATTGCAAATATATATATATATATATATATATATATATATATATATATATATATATATATATATATGTGTGTGTGTGTGTGTGTGTGTGTGTGTGTGTGTGTGTGTAATTAATACGAAATATGGTTCACGGGTGCCTCGTATATGTCGATCTAATCAGCCGGTTAATAAAATTTAAAGAATAAAAAAACAAAATTGGCTTTTGAATAAAAAGAAGAACAAAGAGAAAGATATTAACCTTGTAATTGCTCAGAGGAAGAATAAAAAGAAGTTGGATTTCCTCTCCTTTTAAAATCTGTGTGTGTGTGTTTGTGTGTGTGTTTGTGTGTGTGTGTGTGTGTGTGTGTGTGTGTGTGTGTGTGTGTGTGTGTGTGTGTGTGTGTGTGTAACATCCGTTGGTCCCGGGAGGCCATGGATATGCGCCCCCAAAGTTATGCCCCAGCAGCTGATGGTGGTGCAGTATATATTATGATTATACATGTCCACACAGGAGTGACAATCTTGATTACAGTCAATGCACCTGAAGACGTTCCCCCCCCGATGTTTTTTGTATTATTTTCTTCCCTGTGAACACATTTCGTTTTTTTTTTTTTTCTCCTCGCTCCACTGTTCAGTGTGAATTGCGTCTCAAGAAGAGGCGATAATATAAACGGAGGCAATATGAACTCGACTTATTGCAAAAAAAAATTGAGAGTGTCGTGAGTAGAATTGAGATGGAAATTGTTTTTCGACAAAAGAGAACACTACGATGAATGTCAATCTACCGATTACTTTGGATTTATATCCCTGAAAACACCGACTAATGATGACCTCCTCGTTGAATTAGAAACAAAAAGGCTTATTTGCTCTAATTGATAGAATTGAATATGTTTCTAAACACAACAACATACAGAAGAGTATGATAAAAGACATCGCCCAAATACGTAATACTGATAAAATCATCATCAACAAATCAGATAAAAACTGGCAATCTATATTACTATAACGTCGCCGACTATCACAATCTATCTGCAAGGAAATTAATAGGGGTAAACGTGAAAGCCCCCGCCGAATGAGAAAAGGATATCAGCCACTAAAATTAAGATCGACGACTTTGTGCATAAGCTTCATAAACAACAGGCTTTTATTAATTTTAAGGGCCATTAGGATAATTTCTCCAACAAACCACATTTCCGATTTCTTAACCCTTCTAAGAACAATATATACAAAATCAACACGACTATACTTGAACGAGCATGTAATTACACCAGGAATGTCGCAGTAGTCAACCAATGGAAAAATAGCAAAGATCCTGTCAATAAATATGGTTGGTACCGGGAAGAGAGGGAGGAATCAAGAAATTCAACCAGAGACTCTGCCCGTCTGCGACTCAGTCAACACATTCTCCAGGAACGGTCTTACCAGGAATATACAAAAGACTAAATGTAAATATTGTGTACACTTTCTTGTTTCAATACATTTTGTTCTAAGTACATTTTTTGTTGCATTATTATTCCATGCATTAGTCAAGTTTCAACACTTTACTTTGAGCCACAATTCATATATATATATATATATATATATATATATATATATATATATATATATATATATATAAATAAATTTTCTTGCTTTTACTTATTATTATCTTGGTGGATTACTGCTGTATTTTCGACCAATCTCTGTCTAAAGTGTGAATGTGGACATGAGTAAACTTTTATGCTAGCTGATTTTTATACAGGGAAGTAGTAAATTTATTGCTGTTGATATCTATCAATATATGAACAAACGCGTTTTTATAAATGTTGTTAAATTAGTATCTGACTTTTTTTAAAATGTTTTTTGTAGTTCGTGGATTTCGTCTGCATTTTTTGACTAAAATGAGAACATCATGTACATATCTTTGGAAAATGGAGCTTTTTTATGGTATTAAGTGCGTTATTTTTTTAGCTTAGTCATGGAGAAGTTGCTAAATGTTGGTCCCAGGATGGAACCCATTGAAGCACCATCACCTTATAATGTTATATTGATGGTCATAGAAGAGAACTACTGTGATGCACATCAAGAGTAGTATTCGAAAATATTAAGATTAGATTTTAACGAATAATTTTGTGTACACTTGGCACAAATTCAAACTGTATAGTTATTGTCTTCCTAAACACAGGACGATCATCATCCACAAAATTGCGACTTTTCTCAACTATTCCTGATATTCGGGTTCCTTTGTCTTCCCATATCACTCATCGTCACCTATATCCTTTCTGTCGTCAATGAATCACTGGTACCAGCAGAAACATAAACTTAGCCCATTAAAAGTTAATCCATAAACAGGGTAAAAGATTTCATACGATAAGGTAGTGTTTGTCGGAGTTAACTCCTCCTTAATTTCCTAATTGTTCACTAGGGGTCGCTCTCACTACACTATAAATACTGGGCGATTTCTTGCCTCGTTCTCTTTTTACTTTGCATTTCAGCGGACACATTTAAAAATGCGATCTCTCGCAGTGAGCTGCGTTTTGTCCACTTGTGGTAAAACGCCATGAAACACACACTCATGAAAGAACATTCATCAAAATACAAACTCTTTACGTTCACGCACAAACACAAATTTTGATGTCTTTGTCCATGGTAAATTTTGTTGTTTAATACATATACTTGTTGTGTATATATATATATATATATATATATATATATATATATATATATATA